TTACATATTTCTGCCTGGTTGATTTATTATTATTCTTATTATTATTATTATTGTTGTTATTAGAAATCTTTTTCACAGATTACTTTTTTTGTCAAATATTCTGTCAAATTTGGTTTATCAACTAATTACTTGGTAAATTATTTTCATGTTTTGTTGTTAATCTCTCGCATCTCACATATACCAAATATTCTTTCTTGAATCCATCCATCTGAAACAAAACGCCATTATTTGTTGGCATCACACCCGTACTACTACCAACATACGATATTATCAAGGCTTTATAATCTATATGGTTTCTACTTAATGGTATACGAATTTGCAAATCCACTATGGAGTCTAAGAATTACAGCAGTGGAAAAAAATACACCTTATAGTTATGCATTTAAAGATTGAAGTTGAAGAGAAAAATCTAGTCTAGTAGTGTGTTCATGTATTAACCAAATTTGGAAATTACATCAGATCTTTTGTATGCCAAAAAATATATAGCACCAAGAAAGGATCAATTACTAATTATTTTTCCATTAATAATATTGAATATGGAATCCCAATGCTATTTTATATATTAATATTAATATAAATATAAATATAAAATCCTCTGTCCAGAAAGATCCGTTATAGAGAACTGTATTTAATAATAATATAATATTTTTATAATGAATAAATCATTATTATTAATGAACCAAGTATCAACAGATTGTTGAATTTTTATTTCAAATCAAAATTACTCCTCTTTGAGAATAGTATGAGTGGCTAGTTAAAGCTTGCTTCGACAAATTGTAGAATGTAATTTATACATCCAACCCAAATTGATTTTGCTTGCTGTCAAAAAAGTCAATGTCACTCACCGTATGTGTAACATCGAATTATGATGCGTGACAATCTTATGTAAACTAACACTTACAAAATTCCCTAGTCTGATACTAATACTGACACATTCCATTCATACTGTTCCCTCAGTCTTCCCATTTGACCACTTGATTTCTGGAGAGATCGATGAAGATGGAATCATCGAAGAGGAGCGATTTTGTG